GGAGGGACTGATTACGTACATGCCTGATCTTGATCAAGACTGGCAATAAGCTGCAGAAATTCAGCTTGTTTGTATGCTTTTACAAAGAATCACTTGGGATATGTTGATGTCAAATACAAGATATTGAGTATGGATGGGCTTCATTATGGAGTTTGTTTCCTGCCTTAGTGCATAGGGAAACTTCTACACAGATTCACAATTTGTTAGTAGTTAGATCTGATGTAACCTGTAACTTTATCTGCAACAGGGATTTCTAAAAATAGGGTGGAGAGTCCAAAAGAGAAGGTTGAAACCACCTCCTGAATAAATTAAGGACCAGTTGGGCAGCAAAACTGGTATTTCAGTGAGCTCTCGTTTTTACTGCATGTAAATCAAATATTTTTATTTTATTGATTAGCTTGCACAGAGGCTGCCTTCAATAGCCCCTGCCTCCTAGTAAGGCACTTTATTTTACTGGCAGGGTACTGGATGCATTTTAGCAATTAACATGATATTCTTCACATGAAGGAAAGACAGAGGGTATTCACCAAACTTCCCTCAGTTCAGCCTGAGCTGAAAATGCAAAGTATCCTCTACTAGCCAGTGCTGTCCAAGAAAGCTTGGAGTTTTCATGGGATGTATGGTCTGTGTATTGAGTTCCTTCCCTTAATCAGATACAGTAGAGCTTGGGAGGTGAATCTCTTGGCATTTAGCTTTCAGTACAACCAACTTTTCTAAATATGTTTTCCTGCTTCATAATTTCATTATTCATTTAATTCTCACCTACATATAGGAACCTTCTAATCATTTCAGATGGGGAGAGGAAAAGCACTGGTGTTGTTCTTTTGTTTTGTAGTGAAATCCGCTAAGCTGTGCATCTGCCTTGCTTTTTGACGAAAATATATATTTATTGCCTCATTTGAAATTCAGATGCACTCAGCATTTAAATCTGAGCCCATTTTGTTTCTGCACACACCCTGCGGTATTTCTTTATGCTTGATGAGTTTCTCTGGAGATTTTTTGAAAAGCTTTGAGATTGACTGTCAGATATTGCAGGCAGGTTCATTCAGCATTGCAATCAGCAATCCTATTAATAGAATCAATCAGAATAAATGGCATTTAGTAAAAGTTCTGAAGCCGTGAAGCTAGTATATCAGGAAGTTTATAGGAACCATTTTATAGTCTTCTAGTTCAAAAAAAAAAAAAAAAAGTACTGGAAGTTGTAGGGGTTTTTTTTTTTTTCCTATAGACAATAAACTTTATAATATGTAGTATACTGTCCCCACTCAAGGCCTAACTCTATTGTTGTTTCATATACAGTACTTCCCTTGCAATACAGACAATTTAAACTATTTTGCCAGTTTGACTCACACCTGTAGAATTCAATCAGATTTGCATTTTTTCTTGATCTAGTTTTACCTTTACCCTTAACATATTCATAGTCATTATACTACATTTCTGAAAGTTCTGCATCAGACAGTGTAACCATCACCCTATATTTGTGGTAAATCTCTGTGTAGGACATAATGTTGTGTTAGGGTATGAGTTGCAAGGACTGGGCTGGGTCTAAAGTCTGCATGGTTGAGTGTTCAGATTAAAGCAGCTAGTGACCAGTTGTTCCTTGAAAAGTTAATAAGTACTTCATAGTCATCACTGATGGTGGTTGATTTTTGTGATTATGAACTGTACTTCAGAAAAATAAAGGCAGGGTCTGTATCCTATGCAGAGCAGATTTTGTAGGAGAATTTAGGACAGTACAGTTAAGTGTCAATCTGTCTGAGGGGCTCGCAGTGCCGGAATGGTTCTTCTGCTTCTTGCTTATCAGTTTTCATCACACAAGAACTGAAGAACAACTTACTGCTTAGTCCTCCTTGTCCATTTATGCACCCAGTATTTTCATTAAAAAAAAAAAAGGCAGCTTGGGGACTGCTTGATATGGCTAATCTGATTTTCTTGTCCTTTCACACCACAGAAGGCCTTGAAGTACTTCATCAATAAATAGTTAAGCATCTTTAATGTAAAGATCTACAGATCACCATGTCTGTCACACTTGTGAGGTTATGTAGTTATGTCATCATGTGGGAAAAGGACCTAATCACATTTTTCTTGGGTAACTATGTAGCAACACTGCAAGTGTTGCAAGTGTGCAAAACAATTTGGAACTGCAGGGAATGCAAGCAGAATTCTGTTGATTTGGTCTATGAACTAAATGGCTTGCCCAAAAGTAACAAAATACCTTCTTTATGTTCTATGCAGAAGATTTCCTAGTAAATAATCCTGCAGGGCTGTCAACACGCCAAGGAAGCACTGTCAGGTTTGCAGCAAGATGTGTTATAAGGTGGTAGAGTTGCCATACAGGGAATTCTATTTTTATAAGAATCAGTCCTTTGACTTCCTGGCTCATATTGCAGTAAAAATGGCCACAGACTCTTCTCTGCTGCCTCCAAACTATTCTAGACCCAGTAGAATTTGTTTTATCTTAAAACCGAGTAAAGACAGGAAAATTAGTTTACCTTGACAGGCTAGAAAAGCTCAGAGAAAAGATGGTTTAAAGAAGGTACAGTTACAGTTGTTTAATTGTTGCACGGGAAATTGAGATTAGGCACAGGGGATCTTTGAGTTTATGCTAATGCCTACAGTTTGGAGACTTGACTTTTAAGGTAGAAAAATAGCAACAGAAGAGAGATTTCACAGAAACCATTTGGCATTGGTGTTGGCAAGCTAAGCCAGGTCCACACTACGCAGACTACTAAGATGGCCTGTAAATGCAGGCTCTGCTAACAGGAACTGGTAGTAATAATAATAATAAAGTTGTAGGGGAGATTCTTTCTTCAGTACCAAATGCAGTATCAAATTGCTAATTGTCTTTGCTCTGATATTCGGGTCCAAGCATTTTCTTAGAGGGCACCTCTTAGCCAAAAACCTTCTCCTGGGTAGAATAGCAGATTTCATTCCACTTTTCAGTGCTTCCCAATGTCTAGTCTGGTTATTTAATCTGGGGAAGGTTTAGGAGAGCTGTAGTAACTCTAGTCAATTGTGGGCCGATGTCAGAAATGCTTTGGACTGTAGTTTCCTGTAAAACTGTTTTTAGTTTAGTTGCAGTATGGTCCCTTGCATTTTCTCTCCACTGCCCTGTTCCAGGACTGCCCTGTTCAAGTCTGATATATATGCCTAAATTCAGAAACCTGTAGCCCAGTTTACAACAATTCATAACACTTGGAGATTAAATAAAATCAGTGAGAGCTGTGTTCTGAATTTTTGCATGCTTTAAACAACTAAAGGAGTAGAAAAAATATCACGACATCTTATCGTGAAAGCATAGAGAACACCTTTAATAGTGCTGTGCCTTGGTTTTATCCATAAAATGGGGTTAGTGCAGGGAGCTGTTAAGGCAAACTCTTTATTGTTAGAGAAACAGCTGATTGATATGGTGATTAGCATCCTAGAGGGATCCCAGGAGGAAAATAATAGTTTTGTACTCAGTGCACAGCTTGGATATTTTGCAATAAATGAGACATGAGGCTACATACAGAAAAAGGAAAAAAGAAAAAGACAAAAATATGTGCCCATTCTATGAGTACCGATACAGTACTGAATGGGACAAGGGCTCCTGTGGAAATAGTACAGGATCACAATATTTATCATTATGGAGTCATGCACAGGGCCAAGAATTCACATGCAACCCAAATTCTGTTCACTCATCATTTCTGAGACCTTGACTTTGCAAATTTAACTTCTTTATTTTATTTGTTATTTTACTGTTTTGTTTGTTTCTTTTACCATACCATATATAGGAGTTAGAATTGGTTCTTACAACTGCATTACACCAGTGTGTTTCCAAACAACAGACAACTCCACTGAAATTCTTTATGTATAGAAACACCAGGCAAATGTTTCTGACGTTTAGATAAATATGTCTGTTTTTCTATAGAAGGTGTCTGTGATTAAACCCATATTTAAGGGAAGACAACAGCTAGAAAGACTTACTTGTTTTTGCAACAGGAATGCTGAAAGAAATTTTTTAAAATATTGGCTCTATTTTAAAGGAAAATAAATAAATTGAAGTGTTTTCAAGAGGACTACTGGTGATTTAGAGTAAAAACAAAAACAGGAAGGCAATAAAACTTTCTGGACTGGTAAGAACATGTGGAAATACACAAAAATAGCTCTTTAGAGTGCTGGAGTGTCGCAGTGTCTGTGTGACCCTTCCGAGGTGTCTTTTCTTTCTTCCTTCCTCTTGGGAAAGCTACCTGCACTCCGTCATTCACCTCAAGGAGGATCTCAAGTTTCTAGCAAGTTTGCGGACATAGCTCACATCATCGCCGTGTGTTTGGCAATGAAATTATGTTTTGAAAAGACTTAGTAGCTTGGATACCATATGATAAATCACCCAAACAGTACTTGCGAGCAAAACAGCCTCAGCAATTGAAAATCATTCATATAGGATTAGTTTAATAATAACATAAGAAAATATTTATTTTTCAACCTTGCACCTGCTCCACTACAGGATGAGGTTAAACAGTTGACTAGCATCGGTACTGTCAAACTAAATGTCATGCTATCCCTTTTAACTCTTCTTTTTTCTCTTGCCTTCATTCATTTTATATCAATGCCTTCTAAAATATGTCTGTGACGTGTTGTGCTCTACAAGATTGTTTCCACAGTAACAGTCAGAATAAGTGAGGCTTTTGCATCACCTCACCATAGCCAGTAAAACAAGAAATTGTATTGTAGTAATGTGTGGCCAAAAGTTAAGATTTTAGGTTTCCTATAGCACTATGCAACTATAATGCAACTGCTATGTTATAGATAAATCTTTTGTACTTTAAACCAAAACATTTAAGTTGTTGCAGGCTCCAGCTACAAAATCTGGTCTTTTTAACTCAAGTATTAGTGCCGTTTACTTGTAGCTCTGGAAGTCACTGTCTAAGAGATATGGACATGCTCACAAACAGCTCCAAGGAGCCTGGGGTTTCACATTCTTATCTGTGTCACTCTGTCCTTCCCTGTCCCGCTGTTAGGATCTGCGCTCTAAAGCTTCCCACACCTTAGCAGAGTTGGTGAAGGAGCTGTTTCTTCAGACACTTCCCGTTGTGACCAGCCTCTCTGTAAGAGAATGTGAACTTCTGAAAGAGGAATGGCAAGAGAACTTGGTCCCTCAGCTGGAAAAATTGGACACCTACTACCAGAGACGCTGGAAGCTTTTCCAGGAACAGCTGCTGCTAGAGAAAGAGGTACTGCGGTCTGGTGTCCCTGTTTCTAAAAAGAGCAATGGGAAGAAACTATCAAGCTATTTAATATTTGGGGAATGTTTTGTATGCAAATACATTGTCCATTCAGGTCCAGACTTAGGATGGACAGGTTGAACTGCAGTATGGAGTGAATATATGTGCTGTGCATGTAGGCTTCCACAGAAAAGTCAGAGAGTAACTACTGAACATCTCTCCACAGTGTTTGACAGCTTTACCAGCACAGCAGCAATTTTTGGCAATGCTGCCCTCTGATTTCACAATGTCCTCAGCTTCTTTAAGTACCACTGAAGACAGTGAGCCTATTCATGTGCTTTAAGTTAAGGATGAGCACAAGTATTTTGCAGGAATGTTGGCTAATATTTAGTGTCGGAATTTGGCATACCTGCACCTATGGTGATTAGTGAAAAAATGTGTGACCTCAAGATTTTTTTATTTTGCCCTGTTCATCAGAGATACTATTTTCAGTAGCTTTCTTGTCCAACCTAAATATCTAGATGCCTGATCATTGTCAGGTTTGCTTAGACTTCATGAAATGCCTGTCCTTGCACATGAGGGACCTAAGCAGTCCAGTCCTGTGGGTGCCCTTCAAGAGTACCCCACAGTGCATGGGGCAGAAAGCACCACAGTGGTATCCACTGTCATTGAAAATCACATCCAGAAAAGGAGGAGATTCTGGTATGAAATTTATGACTAGTCTAGAAATTAGAGTATGTGTTTGAGCACCTTTGCTCTGGTCCTTCCACTCTCCTGTTCAATCTCAACCGTTGTTCAAAAATTTATACAGCAATCCCCAAGCCAAAGAGGATGTAGTTTAATAGCTCCCATACAGAGGGACATCTCAGTTCTAAGGTTTTGTTCCAGGCACAGTTTACACATCTGCTGTTACCTTGAGTGGCTGAGTGGAAAGACCAGCACCCCAATATTGTTTCTCAGGGCATTAAGTTAGACAGCTGACTTTGCATCACTTTCAGTATGCCATAGAATTCATAATATAAAGTAGATGGCTTTCTGGCTGGAAAATAAATAAATAAATGCTTTGCTGACATCATTAACAATAATTACTGAACAATCAAATGAGGTATTCACAGATCAGTGATAGAACTCCCAACATTGTTCTCTAGATCACTAGCACCAGCAGTTGGACCTTATTCAACATAAAAATTGCCTGAACAGCAAACAGAGCTTTCCTAAGGATAACTGATTCTCATAGAATCATAGAATGCTTAAGGTAGGAAGGGACCTCTATAGATCTAGTCCAGCCCCCCTGCACACACAGGGTCACCTAGAGCACGTGGCACAGGACTGCGTCCAAGCAATTTTGAAGATCTCCAGAGAAGGAGATTCTACAACCTCTCTGGGCAGCCTGTTCCAGTGCTCTGTCACCCTCACTGTTAAGAATTTTTTCCTTAAGTTCCTGTGGAACTTTTGATGTTTCAGTTTGTGGCCATTACCTCTAGTTCTATGGCTGGCTACCACTGAAACTATACACGTGCTACTATATGCTACTATAGTAGTAGCGTGTAGTAGATTCTGTGGAATAAATTTCCAGAGGAAATGATTCCTCAAGATGATATTTTTTGCAAGTGCCTTTTTCACTTTAGCGTGTGGCTTTTTTAGAAGTAGTTTGAACTAGACCAGAAAAAAAGTCTGCTCTCTCTCCAAAGACAGTGTGCTGAGGGATAGCTATTCCAGCAAGGCTAGACATTTTCCCGTAGAAACAAGCCTGAAAAACATCACACAGCTCAAAAGCAAAGTGGTTTTCTTGGACTGTCCCTACCATAAACCCAGCAGCATGTGCATTTAAACAGTGAAGAGGTACTTGCAACACTTGCACCCTACAAAAAGGACAGCTTGGTTTCCCGCTTTGTCAAAAGGAGAGGAGAGGAGAGTTGAACACTTGTGATGGGTGTTCATGTCATTTGGGATATCCCACAGATGTTACGCTGCTGAGCGTGACAGAAGAGCCCATAAATCTACATTAATATTGACAAGCCTTTAATTTACTAGGCATTTTCCTGTAGGAGATATGTCTCTCATTTGCCTTTCAGTAGACATGCTGCACTAAGGGTTACACAGTCATCTGCTCTACAGAACTGGGAAGACTGTCTAACCCCAGAAGGCTTTTCACCAGGGTATTTAAGTGTTACCACACTTACCAGGGTGATGCACAAAGTCATTTTTCCCATTAACCTGAACTGTATTTGTTTTGGGTTTATCTTCCCTGGCATTTAAAACATGCCTGAGATATGAGGTCCTTTGAAAAGGGAACAGAATCTACTTTATACTGGAAAAGAAAAACTTTTCTGTTTCCTATTTCAACTTTGCCGTACAAGATTAAGGACATGGGTGATGCAAGTAGGAACAAATTATTTGTGCCACTGTGTGGCTGCCCTCTTTCACCATCCTTCCCTCCCCTCACAAGGGTAATAGATCCGCAGCTGGCCTAAACTGCAATAGTTAGGTTTAAGTTAGGTTTAAGTCAGATTTTTTTAACCCCTTGATTGCACTGGAGGCTGGATCAAGCCCCTTACGAGAGCTTCTTAAAATTTTTGATCTGTTATTCAGTTAAATCTTAGCAGTCCCATAATTTCTCTAGAACCACGTTCATGTCTAGGTACTAGTTATACAGGGCGAAGTGCTGCGCTTGTTTAATGTGTTTACTTGACATTCGGTGTGCATCGAACACCATCTACAGGCTGTTAGAGCAAAATTACTTGCCTTCGATTTCCTGAAACAATCTGTGCTGCAAGTGTCCAAATGGGAGATGCAGAAAGAGTGAGCTTACCTGGGTCTAATTTGCTGTTGAATCTGGGTATAACTCAAAAAAAGGGAAAATTTCCATTACTTACCCTCTTGGCCAAAGAGTAATATTCAGGGTTAGCTCTGCTCCGGAAGATCTTATAGGTGACTTGTTGCCTGGAAACCAGACACCAAGCGATGTCCAGAGACGGAGCGGTGAGGAAGTTTCCGGCCATTCCCACATCATGGCATGACACCCACAGAGGTCGGTCAGCATCTGCTTATCGGTTCTGCTCAGAGAATCTGCAGTGCTCTACTTGTGTTTGTAAGTTCCAGTATTTTGGGAGCACAAAATATCCAGCTCCTCCAAGCCCATCCTAGCTAGTGAGCAGCTGAAGTGTTATTACCAACAAAACATACAATATTCTCCCTATCCTCTTTTATCCTCACCATCTTCAACATCTTCCTAATGATCTTTGTGAGACAAAGTAGTAATTTATTATTTGGTTCGAATCTAAGGCTTCCTTATTTATCACCTCCTCTTAAATGCATCCTATTTCTTTCCTTCAAATCTGTTCTCTTGTTATTTATATGGCTGATACACTCCACTGTTTAGTTTAATAGCTGTGCACCAGGGATGATTTTATATTGCATTAAAAGCATCCCATTGGCCTCAGAGGGGTGAAGAGACCTTTTTTATATTTTACATGCAACTTGCTGGAAGTACTCTCAGTGGAAATGACTCATTCTTTGCCTTTAAAAGAAAGTCTGTGTTCACTATTGCAGAACAATGTTATTTCTTAATAAACAATAAGAAACAGCTACAGCAATCTCTGCTAAAACCACCATCTTGGTTATTGTTCTGAGTGCGTTTTTGGACAGGATATACTGATAGCAGCAGAAATGTTTTGTTTCTTGGCTGCAATATTATAACATTTGCAATTCCAATTGTAAATCAAAGAAAACTCTTCTGCCTTCCCTGTCTTGGCAATCAACACCAGGTTTAATTTGCATGTTGCTTGAGAGTGTCTGGGGAGAGTGGCACTCTAAGAACAACTTCTCAATTAACAACCAAGTCTCCAAAAAATGATGGGAAGCCACGACTGAGCCACAGTCAGTCTGTCATTAAACGTAGTCCAGGCATGTGTTTGGCACCTGTCACAATGGTAACCTGTAGACCTGAGCACCCTTAATCTGACCTTTGCGGTGTTAGATGCTTCCCAGCCTGGATAGACTCCTCTTGCCCATCCCTGTTTGTCCATCCTGCCCTAGGATCCAGCCCAGGAGCTTGTGTTTTGGCAAGGGTTTCTGTGTGAAGAGGAGTCTATATATATATATCTATATATATACACATATATACATATATATATATAGTTGTGAAGAGAATGTGATATTTAAGAAATAAATACACATAGCTTTTACAAGGGGTTGATGATGTCCTGATGGTCAGTACCTCTGAGAGGAGGTCGCTCTGCATGTGCAGGTGAAAGCTCTGTCCCACACAGATCATCCTTCCCAAGGAAAAGACTAACAAATAGGAAAGTCTGGTAACACTCCTAATACTAACAGGGATTGCATCTTATCTCCAAAAATTTACAGTCTAAAGAAAAATCCATCAAAACCTGTAAAGATTAAATTCTCTCATTTAAATATCACCCTGAAGGAGCTGTATACTTATAATCCATACACCTAATCATCCAATCACTATTTCTAGCCATTAGACAGTATTCTTTACCGTACACAAAAGGCTGATGGAAAACGTTATCTTTATTTTGCTCAGTGAAAATAAAACCTACAGTCTCTACTAGGAAAAAAAATCAAACAAAAAGCCCACTGGAACATGCTGATAAGAGTTAATGCAATACTTTGTGTGTCATTATTCTTTATCCGTTGGTCGTCTGTTTGAAGAAAGTAGAAAATCATAGGAGACAGCTCAGAACTGATCCAGATCAGTACAAAGGCTCACATGCTTTTCAGTGAGCTTTGGGTCAGACTTTGAGCATCAAGAGAAATATTCTTAAGTAGAACGATTGGAATTAAGTATGAATTAGATATTTCAAAGAGAGGATTGATTGTTTGTAACATTATTAACAAAAAAGTAATGCTGGTTTATTGCATAGTGTTAGAATGACTGAAATCAAAGTGCCTTAAAATTGAAACTCTTTTCCCTTCTTTTAGCTATGGCTAAAGGAGTATGCCCTGTCTGCTGTAATCCAAAAACATCTGTCTGAGACACAAGAGAAGATGATTCAAGGTGTTGTAAGCAGAGTAGGAGGCCTCAGTGATGAGTAAGTATAGCTTTATCACTAAACAGTGCTGTAAAACTGCATGCACAATAAAAAACAATGTACAGTCCATTGGGGAAGCAGTGAGGGTTGACAGCTTCTTCAGCCAGAGAGACGGTTAATGTAGGTTCAGTTCAACCATATTTTTTCACATTTTCCGACTTCTAAATTTCCCATACTTTAGTATTTAAAGAGGGCTCATGATGCCTTACACATACACGCAAATTTAACTTTGGCATGACTGAACTGGAAATCTGGCACCATGCCACCCCTGCTTTATACCTGAAAAGCATTTTAAGACATGCTTTGTGTGGGAAAATAATAAACAGAGTAAATAAAAATGTTGTTATCTTTGTGCAATTGCTGTGCAGAACCTGCTTGCAAAATCAGCAAGTGGCTTAGTTGGTTAATTTTTTTGTAACGGTCCTTTTCACAGGTCTGTGAACTATATATTACAAAAACACAAGCTCCTGCTGTGTTCAGTGCTCAGCAGGGTAACTCTCCGCAGCCTCGGGATGGCCACTCTGACCCACATGAGGATGTCCAGGAAGAAGGGCTTGCTTCAGGAGCTGCGGGAGCAGCACGTCCATTTTTTTGTAACGGTCCTTTTCACAGGTCTGTGAACTATATATTACAAAAACACAAGCTCCTGCTGTGTTCAGTGCTCAGCAGGGTAACTCTCCGCAGCCTCGGGATGGCCACTCTGACCCACATGAGGATGTCCAGGAAGAAGGGCTTGCTTCAGGAGCTGCGGGAGCAGCACGTCCTGCAGAAGAGCTCTTCCCACTGCCATGATGAAGACCAGTGGCAGCTACTGAAGGCAGTGGTGGGTACAGTGTTGGCTGGTTTCCCTCCAGCGTTCTCACAAGCTATGGTGTCTGGCATTAGAAGCTACCTGTAGGAAATCGCAAGAAATAAAAATGTTCCAGTTCTGAACAGACAGGAAAATTCTCTCTATCAAAAAGCGAACCCACTCTCAACCAGAGAGGTACTTAAGTGCGTACCTATTTGAGTCTGGGCAGACACTTTACACCCTCTAGTACTTTATCTATTTGCAATATGATAGGCCTCATCTTTCCTCAGTGGGAAAGTCATCTCAGGAAGCTGATTTAGATAATTTATATGAAATTTCTAATTGAAATAAGTCATAGTAATATGTATAAGGAAGAACTTTACGCAAGTGAGGGTGAGAGAAATTCCCACTGAATCTGCTAATGATCCTAATATGCACTTAGAAAGCCTTTACTTAAGAGTCATAAGGAATTCTTTCCTCCAGAAAACGTAGCACTTTCTTTTATACTGTCATTTTTTCTTTCTTCTCCAATCTTGAGCTGGCTAAGCATCCATTCTCCAGCCCTCTTTTTAAAGGATTTGGATGCTCTAGTTCTGGGAGACATGAGAAAATTGAGGAGTTTTTTAGACTTGCTGGTCCCATAGGCCAGTCTCAAATCAGCTGGCAATTGTGTGTTTTACAGTTAAGCTCTCAGGTTAATGTTATGTTTTGTCGTTTAAAATACTTATTGTGTTTCAGTTTTCCCCGTGAGCAGACCCTCCCCACAGACATCAGTGTTAGCTGCTGCGTGTGTGGGTTGAACCCATCGGACACACTCACATGTCCCCGAGTATTAGTGTTCTTTAGCCTCTCTGCACTACAGCCTTTTTCTAAGGCCAGCTGAAGACTGTATCTTAAAGAAATGCCCCAGTATGTATTTAAGATTCTTTCTGCCAAAAGAGAAATGGGGAGTGGACATGGATTGAGGAAAGATCAGAGAGGAAAAAACATGTAATGATCCCCCAAAACTAGAACTAATATATAAGAAGTTAAGGAATAAGCTTATTTACAGACACTCAGCCAGAGTTTTAGATGTACTGATACAGTATTTTTTAGCGAAATTTAATTTGAGTTTGTGCCAATTTTAGACTGGCAGACATTATCATGAGGGAATTAATCTATTTATTTTTTATAAAAGATAAGTTTCATTCAGGAAAATATAGAAGCTTAACTGAGTCATAATGACATGACATTTGGGTCTTTTGGGGAAAGAGAAGCTGTTTCATGACCTAGCACTCTTTTTAAAAAATCTCAAAACATATATCTGAGTTATTAAGAAAGACATGTCAGAATAACCCAGTGTTAATAGGGATTTCATTATTTGCCATGGATGAATGGAGCAGAGCAGGTTCCTTTCCTACTTTCCTGTTTCCCAGAAGGAATGCAGGTACTACAGAATCCTCCAGAATAAATTCATTTTCTTTGGCCTCGAATGAGAATACTGATAGAAGAGGGACATCAGCAACTCAAAAGAAGACAGTCTGTGGAAAACTGTAATACCAGGGTACACATAAGAAAGAACAGGACATGCTGGAAAAGTGTGTGCTACTAAGGAACATAGAGAGTAAAAGTGTGTTAAACAAAGTTAAATCATCAGGGAAAGTAGTAATGTGAAAGCTCAATGCATTTGAAATTATAGCTCCAAACAAAAGGAGAAGAGATTGAGGTTCCTACACATAGACTGGGGAGTGAAATCAAGTTAAACATCTGGACTCCAAGACAGCATCATGACTTTTTGTGAAGCAGCTGGTCAGACACACAGCAAAATGAGACACAGCGCTTAGTCTGGTCCAAGGCAGGGCGCACAGTCTGGTTCAGAACTGTTGATACAAAATGCAGTTTGCATTTGCAATAATGTCCATAAGGTAGTTGGGCCTAACATACTGGCACAACAATCGGAAGTCAAAAGAACTGCTGAAGTGGCGTTTGATTATGTGAAGACTCATTACATAAAAAATGAGAAAGAAAATTTTTAAAAGGAAGCCAAAGAGGGAAAACATTTGCCCCATTCAAATGCCACTGCAAAAATCTGTGGTCGTACTCACATCTTTGGTACAGCAAATGGCTCTGCTCGTTGCCGTCCTTCCCATCTCACAGATAATCCAACAGAACTAGAAGAAGCTACAAGGGACTACAGTTCTTCAGCCTGAAAAAAAAGTGTCTTGTGAGTTGTAATTTTCAAAACTGGCATAAAATATCTCAATATAGAACAATTGTTCATTTGTTTCTAATTTCTTGATTTTGATACTAGAATAAGAGAGTGTCAAGCAAAGCTGCCAGATAGTAGGTTCAAAACTAAGAAATATTTTCATAACTGTTCAATGCACCACCACAATATGCTCTGCTTGGTTAGAGAAGCAAAAAAATAGGGAGGGAAGTTTAATATTTGAAATAATAATACTGGTGGAAAGACAAATGTATTAAGTGGCTAAACTTAAGTTTACACTGGAAATTAGGTGATTCTAAGCATTAAAAGAGTAACATTCTGAATGGTTATGGAATATTTTTTACAGTGAACCTGAGTAAATTTATGAATGCATTTGTGTGACACATCACCTGCTATAATTTTGTCCCACTACCAGGAGTCGCATATTCTGGAAGAAGAAGAGAAGCTCGAGGAAGAAACACAGCAGACAAAATTAGAATTTCACCAGCAGTTAGTCAACGAAATCCAAGAAGCTCTTCATTTTCTTCAGCAACACATGGAACAAGTGATTGGGCAGACACTGGTGCATCATGCCCGGCAGGAAGCTGCAGAAAAGAATTCAGATGATGAATCGGACTTCAAGGTCGTGAAAACATCAATAACAGCTTGCTTGTCAAAATGAGAACTACTTTGATAAAATGGAGGAAAACTTTATTAGTCTATGCTTAGAAGCAAAAAAATATTACAACCTCCTTTAAAACCAATGATATTTTACAATTCCAGTTAACACCAGTGTGGAAGTACAGTATTTTCCAATAACTCAGCAGACAAACCAGGTTTATTAAGCCAAACAAACACCACAATATAAAAGAATTGAAAGAGTTCTTGATGACAAAGGGAGTCAGAAAAATGAGGAAGAAATCGAGATGATTATGTGTTAATCAAGAGCTAAGGTTAATTAATAGTATTCATAGATTAATAGCTTAATATAGATTAGTAATAGCTTAGTATAGATTAATAAAACAGTTCTCAGATTAATAAAATTCTTGAAAAGTAAAGACTGTCAGATTTTCTGTATGCTACATGTATAGCAATTTGCTGCAAGTAAAAGGAAGAATTAATTATAGAGACTGAGCAGTTAAAAGAATGATGCTTTGCTAGATGGAGATGAGGCACATTTTCTGCAGCAGGCCAGTCTGCCACATTTCTAAAGGACAAAATTCACAATTTTGCATGCATGTGCAAAATTACATTAGACCGTCAGTTGTAGGCAGATAAAGCACTTCTGACTTAGAAAATGAGTTGTTACTTGTTTTGTTTAATGCAGGAGAGGTTGGTGGAAACCGCTGTAGAAAGTGTGTACGGGACACACAATAATATCAACAGACTGGTGCAAAACTACTACCAACAATTAGGAAAAATCACAGAAAGTTATGAAGGAAAAAAGCTTCAACAACTGAAATCCTTACAAGGTATGTATCATATTGACAGCTGTGAAGTAGTAACAGCTTTTTAACAGATAGTATTCACTTTCTTAGTGTAAAAATGTCTTTTAAAGGTGACAGAAATATGTTATTTAAAGTAAAATCAATGAATGCATAGACTGATTACCTTATTCGAAGGAGAAGTGGTAGAAGTATGGTAATTATTATTATTAATAGCTACTTGAGTTACAGTCATAGATGCAGGACCCTATTACTCTGTTTGGTACAAAGACAAGCATGCTTGCATGCACACAGAAATTTGGCTCCAAGTCAAATTGATCATGGTATAAACAAGCTCTGGTTCATTAAGCTAAGATCATAGATAGCTCCACACTCGCAATTACCCGCAATTGATTTTTCTGGTGCTGTTAAGTGCCTAAGTGTAGGTTGTACCTGTCATGTACCTCTACCATAAGCCATCTTGAATTAAATGTTTGTAGGGAGATAGTGTGTATGTCTAGCCCACTAGCTGGTAAGTTCACCTAGAAGGGAAAGATCCAGGTTTCCAATCCCTGCTGCCCTGTTAAAAATTGCTGGCAGATGATCTGCTTTCACTGTGGTGCATGCCCTCACTTTAAGAATGAGGTTCTCATATCAGTTCCCTTTTTTGGCTCAATGAAAAGTTATTCTGTGCAAAATAGAGGAAATTTATCAGAACCAGGAGACAAAGTCAAGCATTCGCAGCCTGGAGTAGCTTGTGAGCTACCACATTGTTTCTTAACTTTCAATCACGACCCTCTTGCAGGTTGTGAAACTGCTATAAGGTTTATGAAAGATTGGATCCTACATAAACACAGGCACTTTTTCCTGGAATTAATTTTAATTACTGCCAAAGCTCAGTTCTTCAGCACAAGAGAGCAAAAGCAAGCTGTGATCATTGACTGCTTCTGCAAACACTCTGTCCTCCTGTCAATGAAGTCTATCAGCGTCAAGTGAAGTTAGCAAGTTAGCAAAATGGCAATAACATCAAAGACTAAGTATTTGAGACACAGGAAGTGGATAAATGACAGTTGTTTTCTAAAATCAAAGTTATCCATTTTAAGTCGAGTTGATTCTGTTAACACAAAAGAGTTTTTTGAAAAACAGTCCTGTTTATTCTAGGCTGTGATCCACAGATGAGGCTGGACAGACACTTTGGTAAGAAGGGTTAGCAGTCAGCAGAAGGAGCTAGGTACATGCATTGGCTCAAAGACAGACCCAATCTCTGTGGCACTGCCTTATTTTAAACCTTGAAAATGTTAATATTGGAAGCTAGGGGGTTAAGCTAAATCTGTGCCAGGACTTTTGACAATCAATATTTTAGTTGTTGTCAGTAAGGAAGGCAATCAGTTACCTTTTTCTCACAAAGTTGTTCTGAAGACCTCTTTGCCCCTGATCCAGCCAGCTACAAACATAATGTTCAGTGAAAAACTTGGTGTTCCTTTAAGCAGGGTAAACCCCAGGCCTTTGCCAGAACGCTGCTCTGATCTGAATAGACCTGGCCACCATTACGTGCTTGAGTATTTTGCTTCATCAACATTTGGGTTATTGCTCTCATCTGGTCTCCCAGAAAGTCTATGGGATCTGGAAAAGCAGTCACCAGAACCACAATTAATCTTTTGGTAATTGCTCACTTAGAACATTTTGCCTCCCTGTGCTTGTGCAGCTGTATTACCGTTGCAGTGTATTACTGTTCCACGAATCATAAGAATTTTACTTGTGTAAGCAGCTACTACAAGATGATATTTTCTTTTCCACAGAAGAAAAAGAAAAATCCCTTCTGCTGCAGTTTAAGCCTATAGGAAAGAGGGATACCAAGAGTATTTATTATTAATAAAAACAAGAGTGTTTTAGACATTGGTGACCAGAGAGGAACCCAAGAAGTCACAGATCAAATGAATAGCTGCAGCCAAGAAGATGCTGCAAGCCTGTATGTGTGAGCTGCAGTGCAGCCATTTTCTAGTAACAATGGATGGCTGCTTCTCCTTTGCCAGTATTTTCATAGTGGGAGGAAGTACTAGATCCCATATGGAACTTTGATGGTTTAATACACCTTAGCCCTCCTTTAATTAAAGTTCAGATTTGTGATGCAAACCTCTTGCCTTTCACCTTTCAGTTGCTGTGTCAACATCTCTCTGTGACACAGGGCAGGCTGGAGGTGCTCTCCTGGGACACAGGCCAGCCAGCCACATCCCATCCGAGCCCAGCGTGGAGGCAGAGCATATGTGTTTTAACCTTTCTAAAGGGTCTGATCCATCAGATGATCTCCGAATAAGATTACTGCATTGAAGGAGTGATTCTCCTTATCAAATCACTTGTAACCTCTCTCTAAAATAGCAGATTTTTCCTCAGCAATATTGGCATTATAGCCACATACTGATTGTACAGCAGCCCAGTAATCAGCATACGGAAAACTCAGAAAATTGATCCTGTACTTCATTGAGTGACAGGCAGATGAGAAAGACTTTGCAGGCCAGCAAGTAAGGACCGTAATGTTGTAACATCCCTTTCCCAAGAGTCTGGCTAACACCACGCAGCAGGATATTGCTCCCTTGTGCATCTGCTGGCCCTATGAATTTTAACTTATGGTCTGCTTGGCATAGCCACGAGAAGAAGGGTGGAACACATCCCCTCTTTTGGCCCTACCTGGAAGGTAGCCAGTACCTATTCTCATGGGTGATGCATCGGCAGAAATGCCTGCCAGCCTTCCCAGGTGCTAGGAAAAGGTAGGATGGTCTCCAAAGGTGCTTTCTCTCTCCCAACCTGTTGCATGCTCATCCACCTGCCTCTCTCTGCATTCTCCAAAAACGCAGAATTTGGCGATAGCAGATATGAGGAAACCTACCTGATGTCTGGCATCGCAGCTTTCATTTGGGTATTTCAGGTCCTGCATAAGGCATCCAGATCTTACCATAAATTTTTTCTTTTGAGTTCCACGTTAATTTGTCAGCCTGGTGGAAGAAATAGATAAAAAATAGAATTCCCTGGCAATTAGCATCTAAGCTAAATGAATCAAAGTAGTATCTGGTTATGCAATAAATTACAAAGGCAGAGCAGGTGTACATAAGAAGTACTTGGAATACCTCAAAATCAATTACTGCGGAAGGACCACCTAGAACTTAATTAATTTGTGCGGATGCAAAGCAAAAACTGAAAGCTTGTCCCAGTTCAAAGTAGAGTCTGTAATTTTGAGCAGAAAAAAATACAGAAATGTTATTTCAGCAGAAAGAGGTGAAAGGAGCAGACTTAAAAAGAAACAAGAAAATGAACAGGCATTGAAAGAGCAACTGAACAAAGGCCTCCTGGCTGGCTCTATTTTAATGTGACTTCTTGTAGATTTGTATAAATGTCTAGCTTAGTAAATGTCTTGATTTTGCATTTTATGTTTGGTCTTTGCAAATGAAGTAAATGTTGTCTACATATGTCTGACCTTTGGTCATAAAAAATGACATTCTTATTAAACTTTTTGATGCTCATAGTTAAACACTGAAGACAGCTAAAGAACAAACAACAAAAAAAAACAATTCCCGGACATACATTATTTTTAAAAGAAATTTGAAATAAATGAAGGATGAGAACTGATGCTGTTCAATTCATTACATCTTTTCTGCCTTAAGCATCAAAAATACTTGCTAGTTTGCTGTTGAATAAATGCAAGTGCATAAATAATATTCAGAATACCAAGATTTCAATGAGTACTTTGGACAGTCAGGCTTACTTGCACTAAATTTAGGGTGAAATCCCTTAAATGTGAATTAAATTAAAATCAATAATTAACTAAATATGATTTTACAAAACTTAAAGTCCAAACAAAAAAGGCATTGCAAATCCAAAGGAATAAGTTGGCATTGTAAAAAGCCAACTTATTCTGTGTTTGCAGGACTTGGCAGGAGTTGTGATACATTTTTATAATCATTTTATTTATTATCCAGAATATAACATCTACAGTTTTGACGCGGTGAAAAGGTTAATAGTTTTCCAAACACTCTTCTGCTTCTAAATTGAAAGAAATCATTGCCCACTTTCTGTTTTTCATGCTTGTTTGAAGTAGTTTAGAAATTGATTCATATAATGAAGGGCCTCAGAAAAGATTAGGTAGTCGTTCAATATGAACATCATTTATTCTAACATACAAATTCAGTGCTAGTTGTTGTCTCATTTTTTTCTCCGGTAATATATTCCGATATTTTAAAATAAATACAGTTAAAATGGCCTTCATGCAAGCAGAAAATGCAGTAATGATGAAAGTTATTTTGTATCTAAGTTGATCTTGTAACACTTAGCTAGCAATCAAGCCCCATTTCCGATTGCTATTATGATTTCTTCAAGGGTCAAATCCCAGACCTCTGTAAATCAATGGCAAAATTTCCATTAATTTACCTCTCTCCTATTAAACTGAATAGAAAATCTTTTGGGTGTTTTGGCCTTTAGTGAAATGTTATAAACACAACTTCGAAGAGAAAATTTTGAAAGCTAATGTTCTACAAGCCTTGACCGTGGCAAAGGCAACTTAATGACATGTAGCTGATCTGTAGAAGAGTTTGCGGCACCTCCTTCCCTGAAGGACCATGGTGGCTGATTGACAGTGTTACTGCAAGACAGTTCAGACAAGAGAATAGAAGATTTAAGGATTTGGCAAAGATGCAGGTTATTGTGTATTAATCTTTAACCAGCAAAAAAAGACAATCAAATAACATAGACATCAATGCTCCAGATGCCAAGTTTTGCATTGTCAAATTTTTGATTTAGTCTTAACCTGTTGCTGAAGAGGCTTCAGAGAAATAGGTACTTCTTAGTTCTTTATCCTCCCACCTGATCCTCTCACATCTTGTCCCTTTGGCAACCAGATAGTAAAATTGACCTGGGGATTCACTGCAGAAATTGTACCATGGTTTTAAAAGCAGACTTTAACATTAGGGCACTAAATTCCAACTTCAAGAATGGACAACCCCAACTCCTATTGTGATTCCTTCCTCAGAAAGGAACTGTCGTTGTATGGACAGCCAATGCAGGTTGTTAAAAGAAAAGTCTCCAGCAAATTTAGTTGTCCCAGCTGTGTAGAGAGATATTGTTAATGATCCTTTCTCTCTCCAAAATCTAATGCACATGCTTTGTATTTCTTCCTTAAACTGAACATGAGTACCCTCAAATTTCTTCTCTGTTTCCAGGATGGTGCAGCAGCAAAAGAAGATTTTGGCTCAGTTTGAACTGCAGCAGCAGATTCGTCTGGAGTGCCTCAAACAGAAGATACTGGGATTGCAACAGCTACAAAGTGAACTGGAGAATCAGCTGCAGGTAAACTAGGACAAAATGACTCCTGGATCTGAAGCAGACAATGGCAAAACTTCTGACAGGTTCTGTGCGTCTTTTCTATGGCCCAGTTGAAATCACTGCTAAAACTCACTTCTGGCTTGAAACAGTTTCCCACGAAGAATAACAATTACATTAAATATGATCACTACAACATGGGGAAAGCACTGTATTTTTTTCTCCCTTGTTGACAGTTGTGTACTGAGTCTGTTTGCAAGTACATACTCACTTTTTGGTTGCTTGAACAGCTCTTTCCATCTGCTTAAATGGAGGATACACAACTTTCTTACTAATACTTTAGTGCCCTTGAGTTCACAGCCACGATTAAGGGAACTGTGGCCACCCGTGGATGTGATTAGCGTGACTGGACAGCAGCTGTCCTGCTCCTCATCACACGTGTTCATGCCGGCTGCTGTTAACTGGAAGCTGTAGTTAGTTCTCCTCACTGAATCTCTGCACTTGGAAGCACATCGCTAATGTTAACTACAGTTTTCTGTGTTTCTGCAATAACGTATGACACATTCCCTTTTTTTTTTTTTTGTTATCTCCAGTGTAGAATGACATACTTCATAATCCAGCTGATTTTTATTAATTACCTCTGTTTTATCTCTCGGGGCAGGAAGCAGAGCAGGACTTTGTCACAGAGCTAGCTACAGTAGCCCGTGTTCCACTTGCCATGAAGAAGCAGCTTTCCAAAAGGAGCAAGCCAACAGGTTGGTACAATCTGAAGCTGTTTTAAATGCTTTATTCTTAGTATGATGTCAGCAGACTGCTGGCATTTACACCATATTTTAGAAAAGAGGCGGTGTGAATAGCCGATTCATGTTTTGATCAATGCTGAAATGGGCCATCTGATATTTAGTCCAGAATACATTCCCCTTCATAGCCTCTTTAAATCAATATAAGAAAAGGGAAAACAAGACAAAAGTATTTAGGAGTGAATAGTCTTTTGGGTTGTGTTGTAAAGTACCCAATTCTTTCTTCAGACAGAAAAAAAAAATGGTATTATTCTACTTACTATATTCTGCCCTATCCATATTACAGCAATTTTCTACATCACTGATATTAGATTCGATTTCCCAATAGGCTGAAACTCCCATTTGTTCTTATGAATAAACTCTTCTGGCAAATATGTCCAAGGACAATTATCCATTAATTCATATTAGAGTAGCAGTGCTTAACTGCTAGAGTACACTCTACCAGTGGAAGTTAAACCATGTTGCTTCCTGGAAGTTGCTACTTCATTCCACATATAAGTGCTTATCTTGCCATATCACACAATAAGGTTTTAGGAGAGATTTTTTTTGTCCATGCCATTTCATTAATAGATGGGGGAATTGGGACACAGAGAAGTAAGGTGACCTCCTAAGGTCATCCAGCTGCCTGGTAGCAGAAATACAAATAAATGTCATGTTTGCTCACTCCAGAGTAGTTCTTTAGACCATAGAGGACATTCTGTCCATTGAGGTAAGTCTTTGACTTTATTTTTCAAACCATAATTATTGTTTTCATTTTTATCATCTTCTCTCGAGAGAATTCTCCTCGGCTTGATCACTAAGTTTTTGGAGGACAACAGAGCTGAGTCACCCAACGTTCTTTCTCAGGGTAGAGTGCAAGAATCAGCCTTCCCATACACTTACTCAGAAGTAAAACCTTACCTAATCAGGAAATCAGGAAATCTTAAATAATCAGCTGAATTTGCTGCCATTTAAATAAACAAGACTAATTCATTAGCTCAACAGACACTTAGGGACAAATTGTCAGCCTAGCAGTTGTGTTCCTTAATCCACACTTGGCACAATTGACTGTTATCATTCTCATTGTTTGACTTGTAGCATTCCTCTATCAATATCTAATGACACATTTTACATTACATTTGAAAGATGTAATGTACCTGAAAGACAGGTTCCTGAGAAGGAAAAGTAGCTCAGTCGCCTGTACAGTTTTGAAGTCTCTTTCCTCAGCTGATCATTTTCCAAGTATGTTTCTTCTGGTGTGCATGCTGACCCCAGGGATGCACATGGAAGCTTTGCTCAGGGTCCTAGAAACTGTGACTTTTTAAATAGCAGATTGATCTGCCTTAAATCACATAAAATTATGAAGTGACTTTCCTCTTATTTGCTGGTAGTTAAGAAGCATGTGTGATTATATGCTAAGAAAATGCATGGTAGTTTTCAGCTGTTCCAGTTCAGTGTTTGGCAAATATGAAAGCTGAAGATCTACTATGTGGTAATTAATGGATAGTCAAAAACAATAATCTCTCCTAATGTAAATTGGAATCAGCCCCTTGGCATAACTACATACATATACATAAGTGTCACTGTGCCAGAAATGAGAGTATATTTTTCTGCTTTATTTTAATCAGAAGGAAATGAGCAGTAAGATCTGTGAAAGTTTTTATATCACATATCTGTTTCTATTCAGGGGAAAAAACAAACTCAAAAAGAAAAACCTTTCGGTCTCCAGAATCAGAAGACAAAGGTGATTCTCATGAAAATATTCAAGAGCCCCCTGGACAGACTTCTGGTTTACACAGGTACATTAGAAGTTTAAAAGTAAAAAAAAACATGCACCCTGAAAATCAGACAGATTAAAAAAAAAAAAAAAAAAAAAAAAGGTACAAAATCTAGTTTCAAAGCAAGTATGTCTGTCAGAACCAAAATATAACACCTACATTAGCTGATCATCTTCCTTAGTATTTACTTCTTGCATGCACCTTGCCTTTTTTCCCCCCCCATACTTATTTTAAGCTTGCAAAAGTCATCTGAGTTTGCGTGTCTACACTATGACATACTTTATAAATAACTTGGTTTAGGTAGAGAAATGAAAATACTATGTTTCCAAATTTGTTCTAAGTAGGTTTTTCAAACTTGGGTCACAGCATAAATCAGCACTGGAACTAGGCTGACTTGTAGCAACCAAAATATGGTCTGTGGTATTTAGGCTTTCAACCACCACCTTTAGTTCCCAAACAAAGGCAAGTGCCAGCCTTTGGCTGATTGGGGTAGCAGCTCTAACAATAATTTTCTTGATAGATGTTTCACTTGGCTTATGCTGGGGTACTAACTGGAGAAGGAAGAATAGCCCCGAACCTGAAAGATGCCATCTGATTACTACAGGCAGATCAAACCAGCCAGCTGGTCGCTGGGGTTTGATATATTGAGCAGAGAAAATCCTGTTGACAGGCGAAGCAAACAGTTGGTTCTCAGGAGCTACAGGCCTTCGGGGAAAAGTATTTATGCCCTGAGTGACCTCAGCCCGGGACTGACTTCAGAAGGTGGCTCCTTTCCCTGATGGCATCAACCCTTTTCACACACTGCTTTCCCACAGCCAGCATGGGATACATGCATCGGGAGCGGGGACGCAACAAAGGGACATTTATCTTTATGCAACTTTGTTTTGGCAGGCTAAACAGTGACAGCTAAAACCTGCAAGTGCAAAAATTGTTATTGGGTAACAACCTCCTTTCTCCACATATCAAAATGAATTAAGTTAGAGAGAGGATCATAGCCTGTGAAAAACTTGGTCTACAGTTTCACTTTATTTTCTTGTTTCTTTCTTTCAGAGATAAATCACAGAGTTCACATGAAGGGGAGACCGAGCCAAGGAAGAACTCAAAGATGCTAAAAAAAAGAGGCAACAGGTAGTAAAAATATCTGTATGAGCTGCCTGGACACAAAGTACCAAAGCATTCTTCTGGGGGAATCTCAGCGCTATAAATACTTCATGAGCAGGTTTCCTGAAGAACAATGAAGACCATCAGTAATAAGAAATCTTACCTAGCTACACACCAAAAATCAATCCTCTGTGCCTTTGACTTAATGAAACATGTGCACTTGATTCTGGTAAGGAGCAACAAAGTCACCTTTCAAAAAAAGTTCCTCCAGATCACTGAGGGAATGTGGAGGTAGTTTCAGATGAGAACTATGTTTGAGGAAAGTGCCCTTGTAGCAGGGCAGATCAGCACTCCACTGGTTGCCAGTGTTGGTATATTCCAGGAAGGTTTCGCCAGAAGAGTGATGTACCATATGCTTCTGAGCACTAGATGTGGTAGATCAGGTCCAAATATTTTTATTGCTGCTTTGTACAAAAAAAAAAAAAAAGCGAAATGTAAAAAAAAAAAAAAAGACCTCAGGTGTCAAGGGTACATCACAACATGGAATTTGGCCTCTCTTGTGTTATATTTTTGTTTATCAGGTTATATATATTTTTAAAAAAATTTGTACAAAGATTTCGTAATTGTATTTCCGTGTGCTTGTCTCAGATTTCAAATTATTTTTAGAGAAAATGAGATAAAAACCTGTTTCATTTTAACATTTCACTTCCTATTCTTCCTAAAGTAAATTCTTTGTTTTCAGTATACTTGATTAGGCTCATTGTTTCCTATGGGTAATTTTGTTGTTATGCAAAGCAGTTAATTCTTGTTAGCTGTAAAGAACACCTGTATAAGGCAGTAAATTGCATCACTTAGGAAATCTTACAGCTTTCGTGAAATTAAAATTCTCCATAATTTTAAAACAAACCTACATTTTACTCACTAAAAGGCTGTTCATTGGCACATGTTGTAAAATATAACATCAGTCATAAACTTTACCTCTGCTTAAGGAACAAATGACTTCACCAAGCATATTACACACCCTTGTTTAAATGGTATCCTCAATGTCAGTCATTATCAAGATAACTTGGGCTTTCTTCCTAAGTTGTATCAGTTTGAGCCTTTGATTCTTCTGACTCAGCAACTGGCTGAGTCAGGTCTTTCATGGTCTTTCTACCTTACTGGTCTAGACATTTTAGTTGCATCTTTAATGTGCTTTTTTTTCCCCCCCGTCTGAATGGATGCAGCCTCGTTACCTCTGTCTGAACATTTTAATTGTGCAGTGCGCCCTAGACAGATAGCAGAAAGAAAGCTTTTAAAATCAGATCTGAACATGCTGCTGAAACACTGCTTTGAACCCCTCAGTTACCACGGAGGCTCCAGTCACAGCTCGGTTGCTGTGCGCTCACTACACCAGTTTCCCTGGATGCTCCGTGATTTGTTTGATTAGGGAGGGTTTAAGTGGCTTTTTATCTCCCGTAAAAACGGGCAAGTGTTCAGCTTGTCCCACAAGTGAGGCGGCAGTGCCCTCTCCCGGGGAACAAGCGCGGTGGCCCGTGTCGCTGTCTGAAGTCACCCAGGCAGGTTCCTGAGGGCCCTGGCTGCACTCGGTAACGGTGGTGTTGGTGGCCCATGGTCCACAAGCGCCAACCCCACAAGCGCCGTTCCCACAGCCCCATTAGGAGAACAAGTGGCAACCCCATGGTGTCATCTCCACAAGTGCCACCTCCAAAACTTTGTAAAGCCATCCCCATGGTCTTGCAGGAGCACAGGTGTCATCCCCATGGTGCCATCCCCATGGCCCCACAGGTGCATGAGTGGCCATCCCCATGGGAGCTGCCTGAGGTCTTGGACCAAACCTCCTGTTTATGTCCTAAATCTGACAGCCACACAAAGGTCCAGCCAGGACACACACGAAACAGAGACCTGACCACCAGCGTAGCTCCCGCGCTCTCTCCATGAGTGGATCTGCAGCAATCTTTGGGAGCTGTTCCAGCATCCATAGATCAATGTGCACAACAACTTTTGGCTGTGCTTCATCCAGCTGAACAAAAGTGCCTTCCAGCTGAACACCAACACTTACCAGGGCTTTGGTTTGCAGCTGCCTGCATGTTGTATGGGAATTCCTGAGGCCCTGGGAGAGGCTTCTGGTCTTCACACGCAGCAGTGGTGACCACTGATGTGCTGCAAAGCATCGGGTATGGGGACAAAGATCAGGCCCCCATTAGCTGAAAATTTTCAGAAAAAGCATTATAATCACTGACGTAACTACAGACTGGCTTGCCACATGTTGCAAGGCGAGCCGTGTTGTTGCCAGGGCTTACAGCTTTTTAAAGAAGCATTTCTGCCTACTTTAAAGATAGCATTGCACATCTATTTTTTTTTTCCTAGAAAATTACAGAATATCACTGGAAGGCAGGAATGAGGTGCTGAGACCTACGTACCCCATCTGTAGCGCATCAGATGCTTCATGAGGCATATGATATTTAAAGAAATGACACAATAAATTATGATATTATTGCCTCACCCACACAAAAATTGTTTTTAATTGAATGCTTCTCACTATCATCACAGAAATGTATCTGTGAAGTTTATGTGAAGTTCACCAACAACACAGTGGAAAAAAAAATCCTCAATTGTTTTTGCTTAGATCACTGTGATTTAATATTGGCCCATTTTAAATGTCAGGAACTAGCTGGTATCAAGTAAACTAGCAAGTGGCAGGTTCAAAAAGAGGCTTTTTATCACAGTGCCTTAATATGTACAACTCTTTGCTCCAGGAATGTACTTTTAGAACTCATGTAAAAATCTTACCATGTGTATCTGGGCAAATTTATGGTAAAAACATCCATCCACGTAGGGTTATAAAATACAGAGATGCTACTTCTCACTCAGAAAGTTACAAATTATTGGAAATTAGGGGAGTATTAGCATACTTGCCTTTTTTTTTCTTCTTCTTATGCTCTTCCTTGGGCTGATACTGTTGGCAACTGGAACCCAGAGTAGGTGGACACATGGTCTGGTCCAGCCTGTTCTTTTAATTCTAAATGACAGAGGTCGTTGTGTTACTTTGAGAAACACATAATGGTTTGTACAGATACCAACCTGGGGACAAGTTTAGCATCGTCTTTGCTAACAGGCTTTGCTACAAACTATAAATAGCATACACCTGCATTGCTTCAGTAGTAGACAACACTCCAAATTGTGACTCAGGAAAGGCTCTCTGGATCCAGCCTCCTCTTTCACCTCCCTTTTGACTGAATAACCCTGAGACTGCACTCTAAGGGCTAATTTTAGAGGGGAGTGGCAATAAATAGGTGCTGATCTCACATCATTAGGGCAATTTATGCTACTAAAAACTCATGCTGCAAGATTTTAGAGGCTTGATCCTGGAAAAAAGACTTGGGGATTCTCTATCAATACTGGTTCAAGTGCAAGAAGCCTCATGGATAGAGCAGAGCTGTTAGGCAGAACTAGGCAATCATTGCTGCTAACACAAACACACCCAAAAGGGCACAGTGTTGTTACCAGCAGTTCCAGGGCTCCCGCACTACATCAGATTAGCCTGACAGCTTCACAAACCAGCTTCACTTTTATTTTGGGGGTTAGATTACCAAAACTATTAGACACGCTGTCAATCATCTCAGCAGATGGGTTGGAATAGGGCAGTGGAGAGGAAATTGCCTTACTTCCTTGGCTGGTGGCTCTTGCTGAGCAGGTTGTTGGGACTTCTGTGTCAGCAATCTGGTACTCCATGTCCACGGGCAAGCCAGGCCTGCCATTAGGGGGGGGAATTGA